GAGCACCCCTCAAAGAAAGGGGTACGGGGGTCACCACGAGAGGCGCCTACAGCGGTGATACTAGTCTCTGCTGCAAGGAGGCGCTCCTCGAGGAGGTCGACAGTGAGGGTGGTAGGGCAAAGAGAGAGGAAGTGGTCCCTGACCGAGCGGAGAGTGTCAGGGAGTCGAGTGACTAGGTAGTAGAGGGTGATGTACATGGGGGGGGGGTTCTAGGCGCAGAACTCAGCAGGAAGCGCAGCGCGGTAGCGAGTGTCACTAGTGCGGAGGTGCGTAATGAGGTCAGTGACTGTGGCAAAAGCAGCGAGGTCAGGGAACAGGTACGGTAGCATGAGGCGACTAAGCGCAGCAGTGGCAGGGGAGGAGTAGCGTGCAACTACTGCGTCGTACAGAGTCTTAGCATTCTTGTACTGACTAAAGTACGCGCGCTCAGTAGACAGTAGGTGACTACGCACAGCAAGGCGGGCAGCAGCATCGCGCGTGAGCCACTGCGAGCGAACGGTACTGTCAGCATCAGCAGCAGGGGCAGTAGAGGCACCCGACGTAAGATCAAACAGGGAGAGACCATCCTTGCTATCGCACTGAAGGAAAAGCTGCAAATCATCTAGCCAGACATCAAAGTCAACCACTCGACCCTCAGCATCAAAGGTGAGAAGACTAGGACTAGCCATGCTAGGAGCAGCAGCAGACTAGCAGCAGCAGCAGTGCAACTGGGCGAGGCAGGACAGTGCGACTCGGCAGGGAAATTAGCAAGGCAGTGCGGCTCGGCCCGGCTAGGCTCTTACCAGGGGCGGAACGATAGGTCCGGGACTGGGTCGGGGCCGTGACAGGGCCGGGACAGGGTCGGGGCCGAGCAGGGTCCTGGACGGGGCAGAAACGGGGCCGGGACAGGGTCAGGGCCGGGGCAGGTCCGGGACAGGGTCGGGGCCGAGCAGGGTCCGGGACAGGGCAGCAACGGGGCCGGGACAGGGTCGGGGCCGGGGCAGGTCCGGGACGGGGTCGGGGCCGGGGCAGGACCGAGACGGGGCCCTTTAGGGGCGGCGTAGGGGCCGCGTAGGGGCGGTGGAGGGGCCGCGTAGGGGCCGCGTCAGGGACGGGGCCGGGCCGGGCCGCGTAGGGGCGGCGTAGGGGCCGCGTCAGGGGCAGAGTAGGGGCCGCGTCAGGGGCGGCGTAGGGGCCGCGTCAGGGGCCGCGTCAGGGGCCGCGTAGGGGCCATGTCAGGGGCCGCGTAGGGGCCGCGTAGGGGCCGCGTCAGGGGCCGTGTCAGGGGCCGCGTAGGGGCCGCGTCAGGGGCCGCGTAGGGGCCGCGTCAGGGGCAGCGTAGGGGCCGCGTCAGGGACGGGGCTGGGTCGGGCCGCGGCAGGGGTGGCGTAGGGGCCGCGTAGGGGCCGCGTAAGGGGCCGCGTAGGGGCCGCGTCAGGGGCCGCGTAAGGGGCCGCGTAGGGGGCGCGTAGGAGCCGCGTCAGGGGCCGCGTAGGGGCCGCGTCAGGGGTCGCGTAGGGGCCGCGTCAGGGGCCGCGTAGGGGCCGCGTCAGGGGCCGCGTAGGGGCCTCGTCAGGGACGGGTAGGGGGCGTACTAGGGGCCGCGTAAGGGCCGCATAGGGGCCGGGTAGGGGCGCGCTAGGGGCCGTGTAGGGGCCGCGTAGGGGCGCGCGAGGCGACAAAGGGGCCACGTAGGGGCCGCGAAAAAAAAAAAATTTGGGCAGGGCGTTGGGCAGCTAAAAAAAAATTATGGTGGGCCCTTAGGAAGGAACGGTCCCATGTGGGAACCTGCTCTATACCATGTGAAAGGAACAACAGGAATGAATGAACTAGGAAAGTGTGAGATACAAATATGAAAGCTGTACCCCTTAGTGTCTACCCCACTACAGCCTACGTAGGCTAAGGCATATATATCTGACAGGAGCAACCCGAATTAACCTTAATTCCAACACTCATACCATGTTGGGCTGAGAACAAGCCCTTAGGATCTTTTCAAGGCTAAGACTTTGGGTAGAGATGTTGTAATTGTGGAAGCGTATAGTAATCTTGTCGAACCACCTTGCACTGGTGTATGAGAGCAAGAGATTGATTATAGCAAGGTAATACAAGGTCTTTTATAAGATTACAAGGAATATGAAAGGTGCAACTAACTGTTTTGCTGTTGCGGTTCGATACAGTAACGACAGGGGCAACTGCTCAATACTGAGTCAGTTGTTTGTCCTTGCTGTCGTGCTGTATTTCGTCGAGTCAAGGGTCCTCCCTGTCAGATATAGTAGGAGTACGGCCTAGGCTTAGTAGCCTAGGCCACAGTAGGACTACGAAAGGAGGCGCCAAGTACGAGCTAGGATTGTGTGCACGAACAGAATTGAGAAGGAGTGATTGAACTAGCAAGCAGCAGGATACAAAAATAGCAAACCCTAAGGGGCTGTACTCACTATTGAGTACCCCACTGCAGGCTACACAAACAACATATTCTGACACACCCCCATAGCCAAAGTGGGGTGTAATCAGCACAATGAGCAGTCATAGCAATAGTTCATAATTATCAGCAAAGCTAGAGGCTATCACAGAGGGCAAGTGAGGAGGAGGAGGGACTATGAAAGGAGAGAAGATGGGAGGCGACGACTGAAGCTGCAGACACACGGGCAACAGAAGCGGCTGACACAGTGGCGGCTGACACAGTGGCTACCGAGACAGAGCGCCCCGGAATACTGGAGTAACTGGCTCTGCGGCTACGACGAGCGGCAGAAGCAACGGACCCACGGGCGACTGGTGCAGCAGGCTCTCAGTGGCTACCGAGACAGTGCGCCCCGGAATACAGGAGTAACAGGCTCTGCGGCTGCGACGAGCGGCAGGAGCAACGGACCCACGGGCAACAGGTGCAGCAGGCTCTCAGTGGCTACCGAGACAGTGCGTCCCGGAATACAGGAGTAACAGGCTCTGCGGCTGCGACGAGCGGCAGGAGCAACGGACCCACGGGCAACAGGTGCAGCAGGCTCTCTGAGCTACCAGGACAGTGCGCCCCGGACTACAGGTGCTGCGGACGACAAGACTGCAGCCTCCACTCAACCTCCCCCGACCGTCCCACACCCTTCTCACACACCCCCTGCTGAAACCCTAGCTCCACTCCCACGGCACCCCCCTTAAACCCTAAACCCTCGGCTCCCACACACCCACCCCCCTCAGCGGCAGCTGCAGCAGTGGGAGACGGAGGAGGAGGAGGAGCTTCAGGTTACCCACACCGGTCACCCCCATGCTCGCCACCCCACACCCCCACCACCGCGGAACGTACGGCGGATTGGGAGCAATGGGCAGCACGGGGGGGGGGGGGGGGGCTGCAGGGACGGGCCGCGGGCTGCTGCAGGTGCGGGCTGCTCCAGGGGCGGCTGCTGCAGGTGCGGGCTGCTCCAGGGGCGGCTGCTGCAGGCACGGGCTGCTCCAGGGGCGGCTGCTGCAGGTGCGGGCTGCTCCAGGGGCGGCTCCAGGGGCGGCCGCTGCAGGTGAAGGTAGGAGGACGGGGGGGGAAGAACGCGGCCCCCAGGGCGCCCCGACGGCCGACGAGAAAGGGAGCTGCGCGGCCCCCCCAGGGCCGCCGCGACGGGCGACGGGAAGGGCGCCGCGCGGGCCCCCAGAGCCGCCGCGACGGGCGACGGGAAGGGCGCCGCGCGGGCCCCCCCGGAGCGCCACGACGGGCGACGGGAAGGGGAGGCCGCGCGGCCCCCGTGGTCGCCACGACGGGCGACGAAAAAGGGCGCCGCGCGGGCCCCCCCGGAGCGCCACGACGGGCGACGGGAAGGGGAGGCCGCGCGGCCCCCGTGGTCGCCACGACGGGCGACGAGAGGGGACCGCGCACGGGCCCCCTTGGTCGCCACGACGGACGACGGGAGGGGAGGCCGCGCGGGCCCCCGTGGTCGCCACGACGGACGACGGGAGGGGAGGCCGCGCGGGCCCCCGTGGTCGCCACGACGGACGACGGGAGGGGAGGCCGCGCGGGCCCCCGTGGTCGCCACGACGGACGACGGGAGGGGACCGCGCGCGAGCCCCCCGTGGTCGCCACGACGGGCGACGGGAGGTGAGGCCGCGCGGGCCCCCGGTAGCAGTAGAAACGACGGGCGCCACGACGGGCGCCACGGAGGGGTAAGCCGCCACGCGTCCCGAGCGCGCGGCGGGCAGAAACCCTAATTTCGGCGCCGCGCACCACGGGGCGCGCGGCGGACAGTACGGCAGCGAAAGCGGGTGGTGGGCCCATACACAGGAAGGCGGCAGACATGCCGCCCTCTGATACCATGTCAGATATAGTAGGAGTACGGCCTAGGCTTAGTAGCCTAGGCCACAGTAGGACTACGAAAGGAGGCGCCAAGTACGAGCTAGGATTGTGTGCAGGAACAGAATTGAGAAGGAGTGATTGAACTAGCAAGCAGCAGGATACAAAAATAGCAAACCCTAAGGGGCTGTACTCACTATTGAGTACCCCACTGCAGGCTACACAAACAACATATTCTGACCTTTGACCTTTGTGTAACTTCCAGCTGGTACGTTTTGTTAACCTCCTTGGTTGACTCGCTTGTTGCTTCACTGTAGTCTGCTTCGTTCGTGTTATTACTTCGATACTTCAGAAGCGTCAACTATGTGTTTCCAACAAAAATAAGAATACCCGGTAACCTACGCACCCTATAGGCGGCTCGGTTCCCCCCCTATTATCTCGAACTTGCAAATTCGCACTTTCCTGTGTGATTGTGAATCTACAAGCATTGTCACCTGCGGTTCGAACATTGCCAATGCTCAAAGTCGAGTCATGTTCAGCTTGTGTTCAAATGCTTAAATCGAGTCAAAAACATAAAATTATGGCAAAATCAAAAATCACACACGCCCTAACCTGGAAACACAATTTGCTTTCCCCGGTTTGTGATGATGATGAGCTAATATCGGATCCTGGCCCAAGCAAGCCCATTCCCCGCCTCAGCAAAGCACCCTTCTGGATAATTTCCACGTCACGCCACGTCATTCGCCCCTCCTCCACTATGACGTCGACCCACGCCCCGCTAACCCTCCGTGCGCCGCTGGACCGCTCCTCCGCGCCATGCCTGCGCGCATCCCTCGTTCCCGCCACCCGCTCCGCCAAGCCTCCTCCGGGCGCCTTCGTGCGACTGGGCGGGAGCCAATTAACGCGTGTGTGTCGCACGTCATCGCACCCCTGCGATCGCACCGTCGTCCGCAGGACTGCGTGTCCCCGCGCAACTGCCGCGCGCGCGGAAGCCTCCGCCAATGCCGTGGAGAGCAGAGCGGGCGATAGCGGCCCCGCGGAGGGCGCGGGGGAGCGCGAGTACGACGCGGTGGTGATCGGCGCGGGGATGGGCGGGCTGGTGGCGGCGACGCAGATGGCGGTGCGCGGCATGCGCGTGCTGCTGCTGGAGAATTATCTCATCCCGGGCGGCAGCTCCGGGTGGTACGCGCGCGACGGGTACACGTTCGACGTGGGGTCGTCCGTCATGTTCGGCTTCGGCGATAAGGTGCGCGGGGGGAGGGGGGGGGGAAGCTGTGGGGTGCGGAGGGGCGGAGGGGGGAAGGCAGGGGCGGGCGCGAACGGGAGGGGAGTGACTGGAAGGGATGAAGGGACAGGGCAAGGTCGAGAGAAAGAAGGAGGAGAGGGAGGTGTGGAGAGGGAGAAGGGAAGGGGAAGAACCGTGGAAGATGACGGAGGCGAGTGGGGAGAACGTGGTGAGGCTCTGAACCATATACCCCTCCTCTCCCTCTACCCTGCTTGCAGGGCAACGTGAACCTGGTGACGCGCGCGCTGGCAGCGGTGAGGCGCAAGCTGCCACTGCTGGAGGACCCCGTGGCCGTGCACTACCACATGCCCAACGGGCTCAGCGTGCAGGTGGGTGGCAGGTCGACATGTGCTGCTCCCCATATGCATCTGACACGTTCTGTGCTCTGCGGTTCTGGCTGTGTCTTTCTGCTGCTGTTCCTCCGGGTGCAACGGGGCGGCATTTTGTTAAAAATCTGGGACTGTGCAGTGCATGGTGTAACGTGGCATGCATCACACCTTCCACTCCCCACATGCGTCACCGTGTTCTCTCCTGACTCACTGCACCCCCTCAGGTGCACCGCAGCTACGAGCAGTTTCTGGAGGAGCTCGTGGCGCGCTTCCCGCATGAGAGGGACGGCATTCGCAAGTTCTACGATGAGTGCTGGGCTGTGAGTGCTGGACTGTGAGTGCTGGACTGTGAGTGCTGGGCTGTGAGTGCTGGAGTGTGAGTGCTGGATGATGTGTGAGTGCTCCTGTGAGCGCACAATCTTGAGGCACATGCATTGCTCACACACGCAAGAGCATTGCATTCGTCTTATTTGTCACTCATTGGTCCGTGTCACATCCGAGTTCCTTACGATGCCTTTCGTCGTGTGTGGTCTAGCAAGCTTCAGCATGACATGCCGTGGGATCGCATTGCTCAACATGGCAGAGAAAGGCATACCATGTGTACCACACCATGACATGCCGATGCCGTGCCATTCCAGGCACCGTCGTATCACTACACCTTCGCAATCTCCAACTTGTTCGGTTTTCTCCCACCCCTCCCCCCCTCCCCCTCCTTCACCGCACCACCCCCAATCACCCCCACCAACCCCTCCCCACCCCCCCTCCGGGCAGGTGTTCAACGCGCTGAACGCGTTGGAGCTGCAGTCGCTGGAGGAGCCGCTCTACCTGCTGGGCCAGTTCTTCCGCAACCCCCGAGCCTGTCTCACCCTCGGTCCGTGACCGTCCCTCCATGCGCCGTGCCTCGCCACGCCTCGCTGATTCTCCTAGCCCTTATCCCGCGTCGCTCCACCCACTCCCATTCGCACGCCACACACACGGCATGGCACAACTGCTCTGCACCATCTGCTTGCTCTTCACTACCAATGTGCGCCCCTCTGCTGTTGCTGCACTGCATTGCCGTACCACTCCACCCGTCCTTCCCTCTGCCATGGCTTATCCCGGTCCAGCCACACCCCACTACTCGCCAACCTTCTCTGCCGCCCTCATGTCCCTCCCCCCCCTCCCACCAGCGTACTACCTACCACAGAACGCGGGCGACATAGCACGCAAGTACATCAGCGATTCCGACCTTCTCGCCTTCATCGATGCCGAGGTGCTGTCCCTCCCGCACACCGCCGCTGCAGATATCGCCCATCTAACAACTCCGTCAGTTTGCTGCTCTCCACAACCTTCTCTACTCATTTCTCTCAACTTGTCCCCCTGATGTCGTTTTGTTAGGCCTGCAGTAGAGGCTAGCTTTCGCTATTACTCCCGCCAACTGGTTGCTTTTTTCGTCACTGCAGAGCGTCCACATCCTTTGCACAAGGTGTGGACGACGGTACTTCCACTTGCATCACCTTGTCCCTTCCATCGCTTTCTTTGTCTGATGCCTGGCTAAAGCTTTGTATCAACAGCTCTCGGTTGCGTCTCCCCTGTGTCCCCCCCTCCCTGTGTCTTCCCTTGCGTTCCCTCCCATTCCCCTTCGTCTCTCCGCCGCTCCTCTCTTCCCTCGGCACCAACTGGCTTTGGCAGGCGGCAGTGCTTTATAGTGAGCACAGTGAATGCGGCCAACACGCCCATGATCAACGCTGCCATGGTGAGCTGCTCGCCATGCCATGCTGCCCGCAGCAATGCACGCCATAGTGATTGTGGCATGTAGTTACCCTCACAAGGATGCTCTTACCCTCACAAGGATGCTCTTACCCTCACAAGGATGCTCTTACCCTCACAAGGATGCTCTTACCCTCACAAGGATGCTCTTACCCTCACAAGGATGCTCTTACCCTCACAAGGATGCTCTTACCCTCACAAGGATGCTCTTACCCTCACAAGGATGCTCTTACCCTCACATGGATGCTCTTACCCTCACAAGGATGCTCTTACCCTCACAAGGATGCTCTTACCCTCACAAGGATGCTCTTACCCTCACAAGGATGCTCTTACCCTCACAAGGATGCTCTTACCCTCACAAGGATGCTCTTACCCTCACAAGGATGCTCTTACCCTCACAAGGATGCTCTTACCCTCACAAGGATGCTCTTACCCTCACAAGGATGCTCTTACCCTAAACACAACATCTTTGGTGAGGTGAATGGTACTAGCATTGTCACACCAAATTGTGGGACAGCGCTGGGGGGCACCAAGTTCCTCAAGAAGGAAGGTGAGCCAGCGGGCCTCTTGCGCAGCCATGGTGGCGGCATACAATTCCGCCTCGCAGGAGGAGAGGGCTGCAGCCGAGGAGCGGGTGGAGCGCCAGCTGATAAGGCCGCTGCCAAGAGAGAAGCCATAGCCCTGGGAGGAGCGACGATCTGGCCGGGAATCAGCCCAGGAGGAGTCACTGTAGCCACTGAGAAGAGGTGGGGAGGGGCCGCCAAGGGTAAGGACATAGTCCTTGGTGCCACGAAGGTACCGGAGGACACGCTTGGCGGCCTGCCAGTGCTCTTCCGTATGCTTGCCTGCGCCAACAAAGCGAGCGAGGACGCTGATGGGGTAGGCAAGGTCAGGGCGAGTGGAGACCATGGCGTACATGAGGGAGCCGATGAGCTCGGGATAAGGATGGGAGGAGGCTGAGGGGGAGGTGGGTGGAGAGAGGTGGTGCCCGACAGAAAGAGGTGTATGTTGGGCGCCGCCGCGGGCCATGTCAAACCGCTCCAAGACCTGCTGCAAGTAATGACCCTGGGAGAGTGAGATGGTGCGGGCGGAGCGGTCACGGGTGATGGTCATGCCCAGATAATGCTGCAGCTCTCCCAAGTCTTTGCACTTGAGACGGGTGCCCAACTCAGCCTTAACATGCTCCAACTCTCCAAGGTCGGCATTGAGCAGAATCATGTCATCGACATACACAAGGATGTAAAATGGGGAGGGGGAGGTGCGGAGGAAGAGGCTGGCGTCAGAGCGGGAGGTGCGGAACCCAAGTTCAGCAAGGGTGGCGGCAAGTTTAGCATGCCACTCCCTCGGGGCCTGTCGGAGCCCATACACCGGTCGACGCAGCTGCCAGACAGAGTCTGCTGGGAAGGGGAGGTGAAAGCCGGCTGGACGCTCCATGTAGATAAGCTCGCGGAGGACGCCTTGTAGGAAGGCGTTAGAAACGTCCATCGAGTGGATCTCCATATTGAGGCGAGCGGCGAGGTCGAGCACGGCGCGAACAGTAGCAGGCTTGGCAGTAGGGGAGAAGGTATCGAAGAAGTCAAAACCATACCGCTGCGTGAACCCCTTGGCGCAGTAACGAGCCTTATAAACGGGCGGCTCCCCTGGCAGCTGCTTGACGCGAAACACCCACTTTCCTTTCACCACGTTCGTAGGGGCGGGAGGGCGAGGCACATCGACAAAAGAGGAGTTGCCGATAAAGGCCTCCAGCTCCTTCATGATGACGGCGAGCCATAGCGGAGCGTCAGGGCACGCCATTGCCTCCTCGTACGTGGTAGGAACGAAAATGGAGGGAGCAGAGGAGAAGGCGAAGACAGGTGTGCCAGAGAGGTCGAACGTGATGGGTAGAAGCGAGGGGTCATAAAGGTGGAGGTCAAGGAACTCTTCATGGGAGTCCTCAGAGAGGGAGGTGTGGAAGGCGCGGATGACTGCTGTTGCCGCTGCTGGTGCTGCTGGTGGAGGCGTTGCCGGTGCCGCTGCTGGTACTGCTGCTGGTGCCGCTGCTGGTGCCGTTGCTGGTGCCGCTGCTGGTACTGTTGCTGGTGCCGCTGCTGGTGCCGCTGCTGGTCCCGCTGCTGCTGCGGCTGCTGGCGCTGCTGCTGTTGCCGCTGCTGGTCCCGCTGCTGGTGCCGCTGCTGGAGAGGAGGTGGCTGAGGGGGCTGTTGCATGAGGGGCTTGATGCAAGACAGCCTGGAGGAAGTGACGGAGGAGGGGGGAGAGAGGGGGGAGGGTAGAGGTAGAGAGGGTAACGGGAGGCGGTGCACCAAGGATACCGTCACGTGACCTGGTGTGGGGATACCGGGTGAGTATGGTGCGGGAAGGGGGAGGACGGGTTGGTGGCGAGGGAGAGGAAGGGGGGGGGGGAGGGGTACTAGGAGAGGAGTGAGCGGGGGAGACAGGAGAAGACAGAGGTTCCGGGTCAAAGATGTCACCAGAAGAGGGAGGGGCACCATGGGACTGGGACGGCGGAGAAGGGGGGGGTGGGAGGATGGGGGGAGGAGGGAGTAGTGGGGGAGGGGTGGTGTCAGACCAGACAAGGGGACGGGTGAGAGGGGGGAGTGGGTCAGTAGATGTGGGAGAGGAGTAGTAGGGAGTGGACTCGTCAAAGACCACATCCCGGCTGCGGATTAGACGACCGGATGGTGGGTGGAGGAAAAGGTAGTCAGGGGAGGAGGGATTATGACCAAGGAAGATGCAGGGAAGGGTACGAGGGGCAAGCTTTCCCATGGAACGGGAGCGGTCAGAGGGGTGAATGAGGACATGTGCCTTAGAGCCCCAGACACGAAGTGATGAGGCATCAGGCTTGCCCTTCGTCCACAGCTCAGTGGGGGTGATGGAGGGGAGAAGGGGGTGAGGGTAAAGGTTAGTAAGGAGGGCGGCATGAAGGAGGGCGTAGCCCCAAAGAGAAGGGGGGCAGGAGGCGTGGACAAGTAGACACCGGGCTGTTTTGGTGATCTCTCGAACACGACTCTCAGCTACGCCGTTCTGCTGTGGGGAGTGAGGGAGGGTGTAAGTCTGAAGGATGCCACGAGACTGACAATAGGAGGAGACTTGGTTGTTAAGGAACTCACCACCTCCATCAGAGTGAAGGCGGCAAACAGGGCGCCCAAAATGGGTGTTTGCCCGCTCGAGCCAGGCGATGATCGCAGCCGGGGCATCCGCCTTCGTCCGAAGGAGAGAGACGGACGAGTACCGACTGTGATCATCAACAAGCACGAGAAGGTAGCGATGGCCCTGGCGAGTGGGAGAGGGATTAGGGCCCCATAGGTCCATGTGAACAAGATCAAGTGGCTGCGCAGCAGCGGAGGGGGAGCTCCGGTGCGGCTGCTGCTTGAGCTTGCTCTGAACGCAGACGGTGCAGGGGGGGGCAGGGGATTTGGGGAGGGGAGGGAGGGAGGAAGGGAGACCGTGGAGGAGACCGGAGGAGACAGAGGAGCGCAGAGTAGCGAAGTTGGGGTGGCCTAGCCTGTGATGGAGGAGGATGGTGGGGTGGGAGAGGGAGCGACAAGAACAGTCAGAGTCAGGAGGGCGGGGGGGGGAGGGGTGGGTTAGTGGGAGGGAGGGGAGGGGGGGGGGGGAAGGAGGGGGGGGGGAGGCAACTTGGAAGGTGAGGGGGTGGGGAACCCGAAGGGTGTACAGACGGGAGCGAGGACAATAGGGAATACGGGCGAGAAAACGACCTGTGGAGGTTTGGTATAGGTCACAATGGTTAGCACCACCTGGGATGAGAGTGGTGATCATGGCTTGTTGGAGGGACCTTTGGGAGAGGAGGTTAGTACGAAGGGAGGGAATGTGGAGACCGGTGACAGTACCTGAGGGAAAGAGAGGACAGGGAAGGGTGGAGGTGTTGTGACAAGGGATGGAAAAACTGCTATCAGCGCCGAGGAGGGAGGTTGGTGTGGGGAGAGGGCGCAGTGTACCAGCGTCGCGAAGGACAGTGTCAGTGGCTCCACTGTCCAGAACGAAGTCAATGGTGGAGGAAGGTGAGGCAGAGTACTGGAACGAAGTTTCATTAGCAGAAGAAGGGTACATGGGAGATGCAACAGATTCAGGTTGACCTAATAGACCAACAAAACCAGAGGAAGGGAAAGCGGTCACACTGCCACCTGCAGACGGCGCCGGGGACGCACCCGAGAGATGGGCTGCAGAGGCAGCACTCCCAGCAGTCCAGGTAGGAAAGGGCTGCTGCTGGGAAACCGGAGGAGGAGGGAGGAGGGGCAGTTGCGGCTGGAGGTCGAGCTGCTGCTGGAGATGCTGGAGCTGCTGCTGGAGCTGAGAGAGGAGAAGCTGCTGCCCATACTGCTGTGACCCCTGCTGCTGATTCCCAAGCTGCTGCTGCTGTTGCTGCTGCTGGGGAGGGGCGAGGGCCTGGTGGGCGTGGGTGGAGGAGGGAGGTTCATAAAGGGGAGAGGAACGGACCTCAAGGGGAGTGGGGCGAGGGTTGAGGGCGGACCAGCGAGGAGGGGTGCCGGTGTTGCCACGGGCAAACCACTCATCACTGAGTGCCTTGAAGCACGTCTCAGTGGCATGGGTGGTTTGGCCGCAGCGCTGTCCCTGAGTGGGACCGTAGCGAGGCAGGTACTGACAGGGAGGAAAGGCAGCTGCCGTACCACGACCCGCACCACTGCTGCCAGCACCACCGCGACCTGCTGATCCCCCTCGTCCACCCCCACGCCCACCACCACGCCCACCCCCACGCCCACCGCCACGTCCACCCCGGCTGCTGCGCGACTGGGCTGCTGCGGCTGTGGAGGAAGAGTGGCGGAGGATCTCAGCTTCGGTGGTGATAATCCACTGAGCGACTTCGGCAGGGGTGTGGTGCTTGGAGATAAGCTGCATGTAAGCAAGCTTGTGAGCGTCGAAGGCAGGTGTGAGGCCCTCGAGGAGGTGGCAGCAGATGACGGTGTCCGGGTACACCACATCGAGTGTTGCAAGGCGCCAAGCAAGGTCTAAGACACGGCGAGTGAAAGCAGCTGCGCCAGAAGTGGAATCCATGGAGAGAGTTCCAAACTCCTTGATAAGGGCGTAAAGAGTGGCAACGTCCTGCCGATCGAAAAGGTCGACTAGCAGTCGCCACAGGTGGGAGGAGGAGGTAGGTGAGAGCTCGCGTTTGAGGGAGGAGGGGATGGTGGCGAGAAGAATGGCAAGCGCACGCCGATCAGCAACCCGCCAGGCATTAATTTTCGTGGTGTAGTCTGCAAGTTCTGCAGTGTAGGTGTCCAGGTCCTCCTGATACTTGTTGTAGCGGGCAGCGGCCTCGTCATAGATGCGCCTGTCGTCCTCGTAACGCAATTGCAGGCGCAGGTGCTCTTGGAGATTGGTGCGGTAGGTGCGAATGGCGGTTTCCGAGCTCTGCGGGTCGTTGACATTCGGCGCGAAGGTGGGAGGATCACCGGGGGGAGAGGGCTCGGCGCCAGGGTGGGCGGGGGCAGGTCCAGTAGGAGCGGTGGGGGCCACGGGCTGAAGTCCACCGCCTTCCTGAAAGACAACCGAGCGAAGGTTGTAGCCGCTGACCACAACAGAGGAGAGGAGCACCTCAACGGAATGAGCATAAGAGTGTCAATTAGCAGCAGAGTTGTCAGGCAGCAACTCGAGTGCGTCAACAGTGGCAAGGTCGACGGAAGAATCGGACGACGATGCCATAGAGATGAGGGTGGGTAGAGGCTAGGGCAGGAGGAGGATGGTGCGAGGGTACCGTTGCCAATGCTGCTGCTGGCCCTGCTGCCCGTGCCGCTGCTGGTTCTGCAGCTGGTGCCGCTGCGGATGCTGCTGCGGGTAGGATGGGAGGAGGAAGGGAGGAGCGGAGGGTGGGGAAGGTGGAGGAGGAGGAGGGCGATGCTATGGGGGATGCAAGGGGGAAGGGTTCTGCTGGTGGTGCCGCTGCAGGTGCTGCTGCTGGTGCTGCTGCAGGTAGGATGGGAGGAGGAGGATGGTGGAGGAGGAGGGCGATGCTATGGGGGAGGCAAGGGGGAAGGGTGCTGCTGGTGGTGCCGCTGCTGGTGCTGCTGCTGGTGCTGCTGCAGGTAGGATGGGAGGAGGAAGGGAGGAGCGGAGGGTGGGTTGGGTGGAGGAGGAGGAGGGCGATGCTATGGGGGAGGAAAGGGGGGAGGGTGCTGCTGGTGGTGCCGTTGAGGTGCCGCTGATGATGCTGCTGCGGGTACAATGGGAGGAGGAAGGGAGAGAGGGGGGGGGGGGAGGGGACGAAGAGGGCAGCCGTGCGACTGGGAAGCCCGTGGCGAATGCACGCGGGACAGCCCGCGGCAAACGAGCGGGATGTGCAGAGATGGGCGCGAAATGGTCAGATTTCAGCGCGGGAGATGCAGATCTGGTTGCGCGGAGGGCAGATCTGGTCGCGCGGAGGGCAGATCTGGTCGCGCGGAGGGCAGATCTGGTCGCGCGGAGGGCAGATCTGGTCGCGCGGAGTGCAGATCTGGTTGCGCGAAGGGCAGATATGAGCGCGCGGAGGGCGGATCTGGGTGCGAAATGTTCAGATCTGGGCGCGGGAGGAGGAGATCTGGTGGCGCGGAATCCAGATCTGGGCGCGGAATGATCAGATCTAGGCGCGGGAGGAGTAGATCTGGTCGCAGGGAGTGCAGATCTGGGCGCTGGAGTTGCAGATCTGAGCGCGGGGAGTGCAGATCTGGGCGCTGGAGTTGCAGATCTGAGCGCGGGGAGTGCAGATCTGGGCGCTGGAGTTGCAGATCTGAGCGCGGGGAGTGCAGATCTGGGCGCTGGAGTTGCAGATCTGAGCGCGGGGAGTGCAGATCTGGGCGCTGGAGTTGCAGATCTGGACGTGCCTTGGAGGGCAGCGCCTTAGGGGGCGCACGGGGAGGGAGGACAGCGCCTAAAGGGCGCGTGAAGGGAGGGCAGCTCCGTGGGTGGGGCTAGATCTGAGGAACGGGGAGGAGAGGGTGGCCTAAGGACCGAGGGAGGTAGGCGTGAGCCATTAGCTCATGATACCATGTTAGAAGAGAGAGAATTGATACATTGAATAATGAGCCAAGAGGCTCTTTAGTACAAACAATGAGCAAGAGAGAGATGAGAGGCAAGCTTACCCTATTGGCCAATAAGTTGGCCAATGGGTGAGCTTGCTTGTGACCCAAGCAACCACAAATGTGTGTTGGTTGGGATTGGTTGAGCTAAGGACCAATCCCAACCAACCACAAAATGTGGTTGGAGGGTACACTAAGCAACCCCCCCATTTATAAATGTGCTACACTTCTAGCCTATGTATGTTGTATGAAATATGAAATTACAACAAAGGATGCTCTTACCCTCACACGGATGCTCTTACCCTCACAAGGATGCTCTTACCCTCACAAGGATGCTCTTACCCTCACAAGGATGCTCTTACCCTCACAAGGATGCTCTTACCCTCACAAGGATGCTCTTACCCTCACAAGGATGCTCTTACCCTCACAAGGATGCTCTTACCCTCACAAGGATGCTCTTACCCTCACAAGGATGCTCTTACCCTCACAAGGATGCTCTTACCCTCACACGGATGCTCTTACCCTCACAAGGATGCTCTTACCCTCATCCCCCTTCCCCACTCGCCCCTCACCCATGCCCCACTCGCCCCTCACCCATGCCCCACTCGCCCCTCACCCCTTCTACAGTCGCCCCTCACCCACCCCTGCCCCCAACGCCCTTCACCCCTGCCCCAATCGCCCCTCACCCCTTCCTTAGGACGCAATCGATCGTGCCCCGCGATCGATTGCAGATCGATCGTGCTAGTAATCAGCATGACGTCAGCCTACAGTAGTGCTACAGTATGCCACTGTATCATCTTGACTTCATTGAAGCAGAGGTGGACGGTGTGCTTTAATTGATCCCCCCAGCCCATGCGCGATGTGAGCCTACCAGGCACGATCACTTGTGGTTAGGTGAAAGGTACGATTTCGTGAGAGAAACAGGCGCGAATTGGAATTGTGGGAAGGCAATTTCGCTAGCCTGGTTACGAGGTGTGTGGCGAAGCTGTGTCACGAGTGCCTTGACTACCCTGCTTGTACAGGCCGATTCGGGGGAAACCCTGCAGTGCCACGTGTGTTACGAGATGCGCGTTTGTGCGTCAGTGTCGGTATTGCAAATTCAGAATCTCGATCGTGTGTAGGATCGGAGGAAATGGTAACGCGTCCTTAACTGCCTTCCATGTGAGCCCGGCAGGTGCTGTGCGACCGGCACTACGGCGGCATCAACTACCCGCGCGGCGGCGTGGGGCGCATCGCACAGGAGCTGGTGGCGGGGCTGGTGGAGCGCGGGGGAGAGGTGCGGTACAAGGCCAACGTCACGCAGCTGCTCTTCGACCACCACGGCCGCGCTGTGAGTGCTTGCTTGGCGTCGTGTGTGGTGGGGAAGAGAGGATGAAAGGCGACTAGACTAGCTGCCTGCAGTGCAGTGGGAGCAACCACTTGTGTCACGCTGCTTGCTGCTGCCAGCGCTGGAAGGGAAACACCTCTCTCAGATTCTGTCGGGCACCTACAGCAACCCGCCTTGCTGCTCCTACCATGTCCTTACCTCGCCCCAATGAATCGCCAACATTCACCTCCCATCATGTACACCATCATCATCCGTCCCATCATGTACGTCATCATCATCCGTCCTATCATGTACGCCATCATCATCCGTCCTATCATGTACGCCATCATCATCCGTCCCATCATGTACGCCATCATCATCCGTCCCATCATGTACGCCATCATCATCCGTCCTATCATGTACGTCATCATCATCCGTCCCATCATGTACGCCATCATCATCCGTCCCATCATGTACGCCATCATCATCCATCCTATCATGTACGCCATCATCATCCGTCCTATCATGTACGCCATCATCATCCGTCCCATCATGTACGTCATCATCATCCGTCCCATCATGTACGCCATCATCATCCGTCCCATCATTTATCTTGACATTTCCCTTCTGGCTCCTCCCCTCGTCCTCCTGGCACGGACCGGCAGGCGGGCGTGAAGCTCAGTGACGGGCGCACAGTGAGGGCCAAGACCGTTGTCTCCAACGCCACCCGATGGGACACCTTCGGTACACTAACTGCTCTCCCCCTCCGCTCCACTCTCGCCCTCCTCTCTCACCCTCCTCCTGCCCTCCTCTCACCCTCCTCTCGCCCTCCTCTCACCCTCCCCTCGCCCTCCTCTCACCCTCCTCTCGCCCTCCTCTCACCCTCCTTTCGCCCTCCTCCTTTCCTCCTCCCCTCGTCCACCCTCCTTCGGCACTGTTCTCACCCCCTTTCACCATCCTTCCACGTTCCTCTTCACTCTCCCCTTCCACCTTTCATCACGGCACGGCTGCTGCCAGCTGCCTTTAAGCCACTGTCTCATGCCTTTCAGGGGCCTGGCGCCTGCACCCTGAAACCGTATCACACGCTGCAGTCACCCGCCACCCATCGTTGCAATTCCTCTCATCCCCCCCTCTCCCGTACACCACTCCCCCCTCATCTCCCAACCCACAACCCCCCCCCCCCCCTCTCGGGGCGGGCAGGCAAGCTGGTACCGTTGGAGCGCATGCCGGAGGAGGAGAGGCAGTTCCAGCAGCGGTACCGCCAGGCGCCCTCCTTCCTCTCCATGCACCTCGGTGTCAAGGCCCACGCGCTGCCACCCGGCACTGAGTGCCACCACCTCGTGCTGGAGGTGAGTGCCTCCGTGTGTGAGCATTTGAGGAACCCTAAACCCCAAACCCGGAAGTGACGCGTGCACCACTTGTTTCGTGCCTCACAATCTGTCTCTCTATGTTCCTGTGTTTCGTGCCCATGCGTGGTGCATGTGGTGTGAGTGCAGAGCGAGTGGGGGCGCATGGAGGAGCCGTATGAGAGCATCTTCCTCAGCATCCCCACTGTAAGCCGTATGAGAGCATCTTCCTCAGCATCCCCACTGTAAGCCGTATGAGAGCATCTTCCTCAGCATCCCCACTGTAAGCCGTATGAGAGCATCTTCCTCAGCATCCCCACTGTAAGCCGTATGAGAGCATCTTCCTCAGCATCCCCACTGTAAGCCGTATGAGAGCATCTTCCTCAGCATCCCCACTGTAAGCCGTATGAGAGCAGCTGGCTGCAAGGGGGATATCCCTATGTACTTCGTATGTCACATGTCCTATTCCACTCTACACTCCTCTGTAACTGGTACTTTATTACTGCTCGCCTCGCCGTTCTGCCAACCTCCTTCCGCCTCGCCCCCCTGCCACGCCTCCTTGCCTCGCTGCCCTGCCTTGCCCTTTTGCCACGCCCCCCTGCCTCGCCCCCCTGCCTTGCCCTCCTGCCACGCCCTCTGCCTCGCCCCTCAGGTGCTGGACCCGTCGCTGGCGCCGGCGGGGCGGCACATTCTGCACGTCTTCACCACCGCGTGGATGCACGACTGGCAGGTGGGATGCACGAGTGGCAGGTGGGATGCACGAGTGGCAGGTGGGATGCACGACTGGCGGGTGGGATGCACGAGTGGCAGGTGGGATGCACGAGTGGCAGGTGGGATGCACGAGTGGCAGGTGGGATGCACGACTGGCAGGTGGGATGCACGAGTGGCAGGTGGGATGCACGAGTGGCAGGTGGGATGCATGACTGGCAGGTGGGATGCATGACTGGCAGGTGAGATGCATGACTGGCAGGTGGGATGCATGACTGGCAGGTGGGATGCATGACTGGCAGGTGGGATGCACGAGTGGCAGGTGGGATGCATGACTGGCAGGTGGGATGCACGAGTGGCAGGTGGGATGCACGAGTGGCAGGTGGGATGCATGACTGGCAGGTGGGATGCATGACTGGCAGGTGGGATGCATGACTGGCAGGTGGGATGCATGACTGGCAGGTGGGATGCATGACCGGCAGGTGGGATGCATGACTGGCAGGTGGGATGCATGACTGGCAGGTGGGATGCATGACTGGCAGGTGGGATGCATGACTGGCAGGTGGGATGCATGACTGGCAGGTGGGATGCACGAATGGCAGGTGGGATCCATGACTGGCAGGTGGGATGCATGACTGGCAGGTGCATGGGGATTACTTCTTCTTTACTTCCACTGTCCTGCGCTGCTGTGTGCTGTATTTACCGACTGCCCCTCTGCTGTCAGCACAACAGTACAATGCAACGTGCATCATCCAAACATCTCCGAGCATGCAACGTGCACGGCACCCCACGTGGCAGGGCATGAGCACGGAGGAGTACAGCGCAAAGAAGCAGCAGGTGGCGGAGCAAATCATCGCGCGCCTCGAGAAGACGCTCTTCCCCGGCCTCTCCAATGCCATTGAGCTCATGGACGTGAGTTGAGCTCATGGACGTGAGTTGAGCTCATGGATGTGAGTTGAGCTCATGGACGTGAGTTGAGCTCATGGACGTGAGTTGAGCTCATGGACGTGAGTTGAGCTCATGGACGTGAGTTGAGCTCATGGACGTGAGTTGAGCTCATGGACGTGAGTTGAGCTCATGGACGTGAGTTGAGCTCATGGACGTGAGTTGAGCTCATGGACGTGAGTCGAGCTCATGGACGTGAGTCGAGCTCATGGACGTGAGTTGAGCTCATGGACGTGAGTTGAGCTCATGGACGTGAGTTGAGCTCATGGACGTGAGTTGAGCTCATGGACGTGAGTTGAGCTCATGGACGTGAGTTGAGCTCATGGACGTGAGTCGAGCTCATGGACGTGAGTCGAGCTCATGGACGTGAGTCGAGCTCATGGACGTGAGTTGAGCTCATGGACGTGAGTTGAGCTCATGGACGTGAGTTGAGCTCATGGACGTGAGTTGAGCTCATGGAGGTGAGTTGAGCTCATGGACGTGAGTCGAGCTCATGGACGTAAGTCGAGCTCATGGACGTGAGTTGAGCTCATGGACGTGAGTTGAGCTCATGGACGTGAGTTGAGCTCATGGACGTGAGTTGAGCTCATGGACGTGAGTTGAGCTCATGGACGTGAGTTGAGCTCATGGACGTGAGTTGAGCTCATGGACGTGAGTCGAGCTCATGGACGTGAGTCGAGCTCATGGACGTGAGTGAGTTGAGCTCATGGACGTGAGTTGAGCTCATGAACGTGAGTTGAGCTCATGGACGTGAGTTGAGCTCATGGACGTGAGTTGAACTCATGGACGTGAGTTGAGCTCATGGACGTGAGTTGAGCTCTTGGACGTGACTTGAGCTCATGGACGTGAGTTGAGCTCATGGACGTGAGTTGAGCTCATGGACGTGAGTTGAGCTCATGGACGTGAGTTGAGCTCATGGCCGTGAGTTGAGCTCATGGATGTGAGTTGAGCTCATGGACGTGAGTTGAGCTCATGGACGTGAGTTGAGCTCATGGACGTGAGTTGAGCTCATGGACGTGAGTTGAGCTCATGGACGTGAGTTGAGCTCATGGATGTGAGTTGAGCTCATGAACGTGAGTTGAGCTCATGGACGTGAGTTGAGCTCATGGACGTGAGTTGAACTCATGGACGTGAGTTGAGCTCATGGACGTGAGTTGAGCTCATGGACGTGAGTTGAGCTCATGGACGTGAGTTGAGCTCATGGACGTGAGTTGAGCTCATGGACGTGAGTTGAGCTCATGGACGTGAGTTGAGCTCATGGACGTGAGTTGAGCTCATGGACGTGAGTTGAGCTCATGGACGTGAGTCGAGCTCATGGACGTGAGTCGAGCTCATGGACGTGAGTCGAGCTCATGGACGTGAGTCGAGCTCATGGACGTGAGTCGAGCTCATGGACGTGAGTCGAGCTCATGGACGTGAGTTGAGCTCATGGACGTGAGTTGAGCTCATGGACGTGAGTTGAGCTCATGGACGTGAGTTGAGCTCATGGACGTGAGTTGAGCTCATGGACGTGAGTTGAGCTCATGGACGTGAGTTGAGCTCATGGAGGTGAGTTGAGCTCATGGACGTGAGTCGAGCTCATGGACGTGAGTCGAGCTCATGGACGTGAGTTGAGCTCATGGACGTGAGTCGAGCTCATGGACGTGAGTCGAGCTCATGGACGTGAGTTGAGCTCATGGACGTGAGTTGAGCTCATGGACGTGAGTTGAGCTCATGGACGTGAGTTGAGCTCATGGACGTGAGTTGAGCTCATGGAGGTGAGTTGAGCTCATGGACGTGAGTCGAGCTCATGGACGTGAGTCGAGCTCATGGACGTGAGTTGAGCTCATGGACGTGAGTCGAGCTCATGGACGTGAGTCGAGCTCATGGACGTGAGACGAGCTCATGGACGTGAGTTGAGCTCATGGACGTGAGTTGAGCTCATGGACGTGAGTTGAGCTCATGGACGTGAGTTGAGCTCATGGACGTGAGTTGAGCTCATGGACGTGAGTTGAGCTCATGGACGTGAGTCGAGCTCATGGACGTGAGTCGAGCTCATGGACGTGAGTCGAGCTCATGGACGTGAGTTGAGCTCATGGACGTGAGTTGAGCTCATGGACGTGAGTTGAGCTCATGGACGTGAGTTGAGCTCATGAACGTGAGTTGAGCTCATGGACGTGAGTTGAGCTCATGGACGTGAGTTGAACTCATGGACGTGAGTTGAGCTCATGGACGTGAGTTGAGCTCTTGGACGTGAGTTGAGCTCATGGACGTGAGTTGAGCTCATGGACGTGAGTTGAGCTCATGGACGTGAGTTGAGCTCATGGACGTGAGTTGAGCTCATGGACGTGAGTTGAGCTCATGGATGTGAGTTGAGCTCATGGACGTGAGTTGAGCTCATGGACGTGAGTTGAGCTCATGGACGTGAGTTGAGCTCATGGACGTGAATTGAGCTCATGGACGTGAGTTGAGCTCATGGACGTGAGTTGAGCTCATGGACGTGAGTTGAGCTCATGGACGTGAGTTGAGCTCATGGACGTGAGTTGAGCTCATGGACGTGAGTTGAGCTCATGGACGTGAGTTGAGCTCATGGACGTGAGTTGAGCTCATGGACGTGAGTTGAGCTCATGGACGTGAGTTGAGCTCATGGACGTGAGTTGAGCTCATGGACGTGAGTTGAGCTCATGGACGTGAGTTGAGCTCATGGACGTGAGTTGAGCTCATGGACGTGAGTTGAGCTCATGGACGTGAGTTGAGCTCATGGACGTGAGTTGAGCTCATGGACGTGAGTTGAGCTCATGAACGTGAGTTGAGCTCATGGACGTGAGTTGAGCTCATGGACGTGAGTTGAACTCATGGACGTGAGTTGAGCTCATGGACGTGAGTTGAGCTCATGGACGTGAGTTGAGCTCATGGACGTGAGTTGAGCTCATGGACGTGAGTTGAGCTCATGGACGTGAGTTGAGCTCATGGACGTGAGTTGAGCTCATGGACGTGAGTCGAGCTCATGGACGTGAGTCGAGCTCATGGACGTGAGTCGAGCTCATGGACGTGAGTCGAGCTCATGGACGTGAGTCGAGCTCATGGACGTGAGTCGAGCTCATGGACGTGAGTTGAGCTCATGGACGTGAGTTGAGCTCATGGACGTGAGTTGAGCTCATGGACGTGAGTTGAGCTCATGGACGTGAGTTGAGCTCATGGACGTGAGTTGAGCTCATGGACGTGAGTTGAGCTCATGGACGTGAATTGAGCTCATGGACGTGAGTTGAGCTCATGGACGTGAGTTGAGCTCATGGACGTGAGTTGAGCTCATGGACGTGAGTGGATTTGGTATAAGTGCATTGTATCTATGGAAGTGCATGGTATCTATGGAAGTGCATGGTATCTATGGAAGTGCATGGTATCTATGGAAGTGCATGGTATCTATGGAAGTGCATGGTATCTATGGAAGTGCATGGTATCTATGGAAGTGCATGGTATCTATGGAAGTGCATGGTATCTATGGAAGTGCATGGTATCTATGGAAGTGCATGGTATCTATGGAAGTGCATGGTATCTATGGAAGTGCATGGTATCTATGGAAGTGCATGGTATCTATGGAAGTGCATGGTATCTATGGAAGTGCATGGTATCTATGGAAGTGCATGGTATCTATGGAAGTGCATGGTATCTATGGAAGTGCATGGTATCTATGGAAGTGCATGGTATCTATGGAAGTGCATGGTATCTATGGAAGTGCATGGTATCTATGGAAGTGCATGGTACCTATGGAAGTGCATGGTATCTATGGAAGTGCATGGTATCTATGGAAGTGCATGGTATCTATGGAAGTGCATGGTATCTATGGAAGTGCATGGTATCTATGGAAGTGCATGGTATCTATGGAAGTGCATGGTATCTATGGAAGTGCATGGTATCTATGGAAGTGCATGGTATCTATGGAAGTGCATGGTATCTATGGAAGTGCATGGTATCTATGGAAGTGCATGGTATCTATGGAAGTGCATGGTATCTATGGAAGTGCATGGTATCTATGGAAGTGCATGGTATCTATGGAAGTGCATGGTATCTATGGAAGTGCATGGTATCTATGGAAGTGCATGGTATCTATGGAAGTGCATGGTATCTATGGAAGTGCATGGTATCTATGGAAGTGCATGGTATCTATGGAAGTGCATGGTATCTATGGAAGTGCATGGTATCTATGGAAGTGCATGGTATCTATGGAAGTGCATGGTATCTATGGAAGTGCATGGTATCTATGGAAGTGCATGGTATCTATGGAAGTGCATGGTACCTATGGAAGTGCATGGTATCTATGGAAGTGCATGGTATCTATGGAAGTGCATGGTATCTATGGAAGTGCATGGTATCTATGGAAGTGCATGGTATCTATGGAAGTGCATGGTATCTATGGAAGTGCATGGTATCTATGGAAGTGCATGGTATCTATGGAAGTGCATGGTATCTATGGAAGTGCATGGTATCTATGGAAGTGCATGGTATCTATGGAAGTGCATGGTATCTATGGAAGTGCATGGTATCTATGGAAGTGCATGGTATCTATGGAAGTGCATGGTATCTATGGAAGTGCATGGTATCTATGGAAGTGCATGGTATCTATGGAAGTGCATGGTATCTATGGAAGTGCATGGTATCTATGGAAGTGCATGGTATCTATGGAAGTGCATGGTATCTATGGAAGTGCATGGTATCTATGGAAGTGCATGGTATCTATGGAAGTGCATGGTATCTATGGAAGTGCATGGTATCTATGGAAGTGCATGGTATCTATGGAAGTGCATGGTATCTATGGAAGTGCATGGTATCTATGGAAGTGGGTATTATTTCGTTGACTTCTTCTAAAGCCAGCATTCCTCCACTCTCACTCCCTTCATTTTTCCACCACCATCACCATTACCTGCCAGCTCCTTCCCCATTACCATATCCCTATCCCCATCCCATCCATCCCCATCCCATTCCATCTCTATCCCATCCCATCCCCATCTCGTCCTTATCCCTCCTTTCTCCCCAACCCCACACCCATATGGCAGGTGGGCACGCCGCGCACGCACCGGCGTTTCTTGAACCGGGTGGATGGCACGTATGGCCCCATTCCCGCGCGCCACCCGCTGGGGCTGCTTGGGATGCCCTTCAACACCACGGTTCGCTCCCACCCCCACCCTTTGGCGTGCCGCCCTTCATGCCGCCGCATGCCGCCCTTCATGCCGCCGCATGTTGAGTCCTTTGATGCGCCATTGTAATTACAATTCATGATAGCGTTGCGGGTTGGATGATGTTGGAAGAAAAATTGTTGCGGAAGGATCAAGTGGGAGGAAGGAGAGAAGAGGAAAGTGGGTTATATCGTTGCACACTCATCAGTCTCTCTTGCCTGTGTTCCGTGCCGCCACCACCCGTCCACGCTACAGCAAGTGCCGGGGCTGTACTGTGTGGGCGACAGCTGCTTCCCGGGGCAGGGGGTCATTGCGGTGGCCTTCTCCGGCATCATGTGCGCTCACCGCGTCGCCGCTGACCTTGGTGAGTGCCGAGCCTGGATGGATGAGTGCCGAGCCTGGGTCAGTGCCGAGCCTGGGTGAGTGCCACGCCTGGGTGACTGGCTGGGTAGGTTTAGAGTATGGGGGTTAGGTGAGTGTGAGCCATAGCTAGGAGATATGAAAATTGGAGTGTTTGTGGGAAGAGAAGTACTCCAGACTGCTGCTATGGGATTAATCGGAACCAAGGCACGGCTGATTCAACGCGACTGGGGAGGACACGTTCTTACGAAACCAAAGCTGCTGATCTTCCTGTCAACTCCTGCCCCTCTCATGGTGTTGTTGGGAGCTCCTCGCCTTGCAAGGTACTCATCATTCCCTTTCACCTTCACCAGTATATCCTGTCTTTGTTTTCCCGGCTGCCCCCCCATAGGCTATGAGAAGCGTAATCAGGCACTGGATACTGGACTTTCCAAGTTGCTTGCGTGGTTCCGCACCCTTGCATGAATGTGCACTTGATTTTAACGTGTACCACAATGAATAATCCTATGCAACTCTTTCAAGCTACGGTGTTTTGCTTAGATTTCAACAGTCTCATGCTACAACTTGAATCGTTTTTTTCTTCAGAGGAAGGCGGGATGCTATTAAAAAAAAAATGTTCCTTTCCTATCGTGCTATAAAAAAAATGTTCCTACCGTGCTATAAAAAAAAAAGTTCCTACCATGCTATAAAAAAAAATGTTCCTATTTAATTAAATCCTGAGAGCGAGCCTGATATCCGGAGGAATACGACAAAAATAAAATGCTAATAGATCAGCAGGACACGAATAAGGGTGCAGATTCTTTGATTACCATAATATAAAAGGCTAATACTGTACCAAACACAACCACGGTACCACCACACTTATTCACTGCTGCTGAAGCTGGAGCAACTGCTGCTGCAACACCTGCTGCTGCAGCTGCAACTGCTGCTGCAACTGGAATTGCTGTTGTTGCTGCTGCAGCCAAACCTGCTCCAGTCGCTGCTGCTCCTGGTGCAGCCGGTCCTGCTGCTGTTGCTGCAACCGCTGCTTCAACTGCGCACTCATGTCCACACGCACCGACCCAGGCAGCTGCCAAAACGTTGCAGGCAGGCTCTCAAGGGCCGGGCAGTCCAGCCGCAGCAGTCGCAAATGCTGCAGCTGCCCGAAATTGTCGGGCAATTGCGTGAGGCTCTTGCTGGCCAGGGAGAGGTCCTCCAACGCAGACAGGCGACCCAAGGACACTGGCAGCCAGTTGAGATTGTCACAGCACACGTCAAGGAGGGAGAGGCTGGCCAGGGCAGAGAGGGAGGAGGGGAGGGACTCGAGGCAGTGGCACTGGATGATCTTGAGCGAGCGCAGCGCTGTGAGCTGGCCGATGGAGACGGGCAGCAGGGTGAGGTGCGCACAGGTGAGCGTGAGCGAGGTGAGCAGGGAGAGGTTGCCAATGGACTCGGGCAGTGCGTAGAGCTTGGGGCTGTCGAGCACGAGCGAGCGCAGAGATGTGAGCGCACCGAAGGAGCGCGGCAGCGAGCCCGAGAAGCGCAGCTGCAGGTCCTCCAGGCGGGGTAGAGCGACGAAGGTGGGCGGCAGGGCCGTGACATGCGGGCACAGCAGGCGCAGTGAGCGCAGACTGGCCAGTGAGCCAAAGGCCAGAGGGAGCACTGATGTGGATGGCAGGGCGGTGGGTGCAGGCGGCAGGCGGGATGGGTCCCAGAAGTCGGTGAGAGGAGAGGAGGGCGGAGGGAGGGGGGTCATGGAGGGGATGGGTGAGGGGGAGCGGTGTGGCGAGCGGGATTGAGAAGGTGGTGGTGGGGAGAAGGAGGCAGCGAGGGCGCTGAAGATGGCAGCGGCAGGTGTTGGGGGCGGTGGAGGCGTGAGCGGCAGGGGGTCGGGGACGGCAAGAGCGGCGGCTGGTTGCGGCGTGGGGACGGAGGCAGAGCACTCGATGGAGAGGGAGGCGAGCGAGGTGAGCAGGGTGAGGCCGCGCGGCACAGTGGAGGCGGCGTTGGTGGGCAGGGAGAGTGAGCGCAGGCGCTTGAGGCGGGCAAAGAGCATGTCGGGCAGCTGCAGATCGCCCGAGCACCCGTCCAATCGCAGCTCCTCCAGGCTTGCCAGCTCAGCCATGGACGGCGGCAGGCTCTCCAGCGACCCGCTGACAAGGCAGAGCTGAGTCAGCTCCTTGAGGCAGCCGATGCCAGGTGGCACGAGGGAGAAGGCGCCGCGCAGGTCGAGGTGGTGCAGGCGGCGCAGGCGCAGCAGTGAGTGCGGGAGGAAGCGCAGGTGGCCGTGGGCGCCCCACACCTGCAGGTGCGTGAGATTGGGCGCGAGCAGCTGCAGGTCATCCGGCAGGAAGGTGGCGTTGCGCAGTGTGAGGTGCTGCAGCTGCGTGAACAGCCCCAGCGATGGCGGCACCGACGCACTCTCCAGCGACTGCTGCTGCTGCTGCTGCTGCTGGTGCTGGTAGTGATCCCCAAACAGACTCCCACCCCCACCCCCACCTCCACCCCCAGCAGCAACCCCATGGTCCTTGCCACGGCGCGGTGTCTCCCACAGCAGCTCTGTGAGGTGCTGCAGGCGCGCGGCGGAGGGCGGGAGGTCGAGCAGATCGTGGCAGCGCAGGTGCATCGAGCGCAGGCTGGAGAGGTCGTCCAGGCAGTTGGGCAGGAAGGCGAGGCCCTTCCACCCCGCCAGGGACAGGCGCTGCAGCGACGGCAGCGACCAGAGGGAGGGTGGCACGAAGGCGGGCAGGGGGAAGGCGAGGTGCAGGTCTTCCAGCAGGGAGAGGCGGCCGATGGAGTCGGGCAGGCGCACCTGCTGGCGCGGGTTGTTGATGTGCAGCGACAGCTGGCGCAGGTGCTGCAGCAGCCCCAGCGACTCGGGGATGTCTATCACACTCACCACCCCCTGCGCCTCGCCCTCCTCCCCTGCTCTTCCCATGCCTCCTCCTGTCTTAGCTCCTGACACCCCACCTCCCATCCCCGGTCTCCCTGCTAGGCCGCCCTCACTGTTACTCTTCCCCACGCTGCCAGACACCGGCCACGCCCCTGACCCAGAAGCCACACCTGCAGGCCTGGCCCGTGCAGGGCTGAGATTGGACCGGCCCAGGTCAGGGGAGGAGTGGAGTAGGAGGTTGGACTTGGAGGGCGTGGCGAGGCGGATGGGCACGGAGTCGTGCAGCAGCTCCGCCACGCTCTTGCTCACCCCCGCTGGCACCCCGCCCATGCCGCCCCTGCTGCTAGGGTTGGTGCTCCCGAAGCTGCTGAACAGTCTTCCCAGGCTGTAGGCAGTGGGAGCAGCGGGGGCAGCAGAGGTGGAAGAGTGGGAGAGGCCGGGCATGATGCCCGTCTGTGGCGTCCACCACCCGCCTCCCCCACCCGCTCCTGTCCCCGCACCTGCTGCGTCCCCACCAACCAGAGAGCGCCAGCTGTCGGAGATGAGGGCGCCCGCAGCGCTGCTGGCAATGCGGCCGACGAGGGAGGTGCTGCCGCTGGCGGCTCCTATGAGCCCATCCGCTATCGTGCCCGTGATGGTGTCGCCTATTATGCTCCCCGCCATGTGAGATGCCCTGTTCCCCCCGCAGGCTGCTCCTGCACCTGCTGCCCCTCCCTGTGCGCCTGCCCCTCCCATGGGAGTGCTGTCGCCAGGGTAGCCGCGGGGCATGGCACCCCCGCCAGCAGCGAAGAGCAGAGGACTGCTGGTGCCGCTGCGGGGGGCATGGGGGGATGCACAGGCCGCGCATGTGGGGCATGTGGAAGACGGTGCCTGCTGCTGCTGCTGGTAGCGCTGCTGGTGATGGTGGTTATGGTGGTGTTGATGATGGTGGTGATGGCGCATGAGGCTGGATCCACCTAAACCCCCACTCGCCCCTCCCACTTCCCCGCTCCCCGCACCCGCACCCACCCCTGGCGGCATCAAGCTGCCCGGGGCAAAAAGAATCTTCATCAGCTGCTTCAGCTCGTCTTCGGTTCTCAGCTCCAGTTGTGAGGCTGAGATCTACGAAGGGGCCATGGCTGCACAGGAGTTACGCTGGCTCACCTACCTGCTGACCGACTTGGGAGAGCGGCCTCGTTCTCCTCCAGTTCTGTATGTAGACAACAAGGCCATGATTGCTTTGTGCCAGGAGCACAGACTGCAGAATAGGACGAAGCACATCGCTCTATGTTACTTCCTTGCTCGAGAGTGTGGTGACTTCGTGATCCACCCTGAGCTTGCTTTGCTTTTCCTGACTGGTCTTGTGACCCCTTGTTTTCCCCCACCTTGCCTATGGGGGTGTGTCAAACTATTATTATGTTTAGGTTGTGTAGGTTGTAGTGGGGTAACTCATAAGGGGTACAACCCATTTAGGGTCAGTTCTTGTACCGCCTTGTCAAAACTGATATAGTGCTTACTTTGTGTAGGCTGTAGTGGGGTAGCCCATAAGGGGTACAACCCAATTAGGGTTAGTACTTGTACCCAACTGTTTCATGGTTTCAGAGTAGGTCCTTCATTAGGACCGTTTTTTTACGGCCCACCACAGCGCTGCCCCACTAGCCGACCTGCTGACTCACGCGCCGCCCTCTGCAGCCCTTGTGCTGCACCTACTGCCCCGCGCACCGCCCTCGTGCGGCCCGCCCGTCGATCCTAGGCCTGGCGCGCCCGCCCCTTGCGGCCCGCCCGTCAACCCTAGGCCCCGCACGCCCGTCGCCCCTAGGCCCCGGCCCACCCGTCGCACCTGCTGCCCCGCGCGCCCGCCCGTCGACCCTAGGCCCGGCCCGCCCGTCGACCCTAGGCCCGGCCCGCCTGTTGACCCTAGCTCGGCCCGCCCGTCGACCCTAGGCCCAGGCCCGCCCATCGCCCCTAGGCCCCGGCCCGCCCGTCGACCCTGCTGCCCCGCGCGCCCGCCCGTCGACCCTAGCCCGGCCCGCGCTTCGACCCTAGACCTAGGCCCGCCCGTCGCCCCTAGGCCCCGGCCCGCCCGTCGACCCTGCTGCCCCGCGTGCCCGCCTGTTGACCCTAGGCCCGGCCCGCCCGCCGACCCTAGGCCCGGCCAGCCCGTCGACTTTAGGCCCCGCCCGCCCGTCGACCCTACGCCCCGGCCCGGCCGTCACCCCTACTACCCCGCGCGCCCGTTGACCCTAGGCCCAGGCCCGCCCGTCGCCCCTACTGCCCCGCACACCCGCTCGTCGACCCTAGGCCCGGCCCACCCGTCGACCCTAGCCCGGCCCGCCCGTCGAATTTAGGCCCCGCCCATCCGTCGACCCTAGGCCACGGCCCGCCCGTCGCCCCTAGGCCCCGGCCAGTCCGTCGACCCTAGGCCCGGCCCACCCGTCGACCCTAGGCCCGGCCCGCCCGTCGACCCTAGGCCCCAGCCCGCCCGTCGATCCCAGGCCCCGCGCGCCGCCCCTTGCGGCCCGCTCCTTGCCCCTGCAGCCCGCGAGCCGCCCTTGCAGCCCCGCGCGCCGCCCCTGGTGGCCCTCTAGCCGCCCCTGTCTTCCTTGCTAGCTGACCCTTGCAGCCCTCCCGCAGCCCTTGCAGCTTAGCGCGCTGCCCCTTGCGACCTCCCCTCGCTCGTACCTCCATGATCCATGCGGCTGCTCCCCATTTTCTGTGGCCGTTTGCGGTCCGGTACGCTGCGCAACAGCTCAACCTCTGGCCCCGTGTCTCCTTGCCGGAGACCTCGCCGACTAAGCGTTGGACGGGGGAGGTTGGCGATGCGTCGGTGTTCCGGGTCTTGGGCTCTCGTGCCTTTGTTCGCGATACGTCCGCGAATAAGCTCTCCGCCCGCACTATTCCCTGCGTCTTCCTTGGCTTTCCCCCTGACGCGCCTGGCTGGCAGGTTTACCACCCCACCTCACGCCGTGTCTTCCCCTCTCAGGACGTCAAGTTTGACGAGTCAGTTCCCATTTACTGTTTCTTCCCCTACTTCTCTGCCCCTCCCCCACCCCTGCTGCTCATCCTTGCTCCAGGTCCCCCTCCGGTAGACCCCCTCCCCCCCTAGGGTCCTACTCCCTCAGGTGTGTCTCAGGTAGACCCTCTTCCTGGTACTGGGCCTGTCGACTCAGGTGCTGCTCGAGGTGCTGCGTCTGGGGAAGCTGCATCTGGGGGTGCGGAGCCTGGGGGTGCCGAGCCTGGGGGTGCTGAGTCAGAGGGTGCCAGGTCTAGGGGTGCTGAGCCTGGGGTTGCGGAGCTTGGGGGTGCTGAGCCTACGGGTGTGGAGTCTGGGGGTGCTGAGCCTGCGGGTGTGGAGCTTGGGGGTTCTGAGCCTGCGGGTGTGGAGTCTGGGGGTGCTGAGCCTGCGGGTGTGGAGCCTGGGGGTGCTGAGCCTGCGGGTGTGGATTCTGGGGGTGCTCAGCCTGCGGGTGTGGAGCCTGGGGGTGTTGAGTCTGCGGGTGCTGAGCCTCGGGGTACTGCTTCTTCTGGAGGTCCCACGGGTGCTTCGCCACGACTGTCTCCCCGACCGGAGCCTCTCTCCCCGTAGCAGCTGCGCGAGTGGTTTACTCAGCGCACAAGCCTTCGGAGTGGAGCTGCAGGAGCTGGAGACTCTGCCGCTGGAGGCACTTGAGCTGGAGGTGCTGGAGTTACTGCTGGAGCTGGTGGTACCGGAGGTGCTGCAGCTGCTGGTCCTGGAGGTGCTCGTACCAGGGGTATTGGAGCTGCCGGGAATGGTGGTGTTGGAGGTGCTGGAGCTGGAGGCAGCGGTGCTGGTGGCGCTGGAGCTAGAGGAGCTGGAGCTGGTGACGCTGGAGCTGGAGGCACAAGCGCGGGAGGCGCTAGAGCTGGAGGAGTTGGAGGTGTTGGAGTTGTTGACCCTGGAAATGGAGGTGTTGGAGCTGGGGGTGCTGGTGGTACTGGTGCTGGAGGCACTCTGCGGCCGCGACCGTACTTCGTTCCCCTACTTCAGCAGGTTCTTGGTGTCCCGTATTCTACTGGCCTTAATCCTCCCTTACTGTGTCCACCGCCTGACCAGTCACAGCCACCGTTATAGCCAACCTCCCCACTGCGTGCTCCTTCTCCTTACACTGAGCAGACCGGCGGTCTGACCGCGCTCGTGCTGCTAGTCCAACTCTCTCTCGTCTCCTTGCCACTGTTGTCACTGACCCTTCTTTTGAGTCCACTGCTTCGTCTGCCCTTGTTGCTTAGCTGGTTGACTTTGCTGCTGCCAGTCGTCTAGACTACGCCACTATTCTTGTTGCTGAGTCTGAGTCTGCTAGTCCTCCGTCCGTTTAGGGTGAGTGTGCTCTTGGCACGGACGTCCTTGAGGACACGCAGGAGGACTTTGAGTGTCTTGCAGCTGCTGTACCTCGTTTCGCTTCCATGCTGCTTGCCCCTGAGGGAGACCCAGATGCACCAGACATCCCGACCCCGTGCTCTTACGTAGAGGCGATTACGGGTCCTTACTCCTCTCAGTGGCAGGAAGCCATGGATGCTGAGATGGCATCCTGGAAGTCCATAGGAACCTACGTCGACGCAGTTCCCCTGTCTCAGGTGAACATAGTCGATGGCATGTGGATTTCCAGGGTGAAGCAGCCTCCGGGTTCTCCGCCTGCCTTCAAGGCGCGTTACGTTGCTAGAGGCTTCAGTCAGCGACATGGGGTCGACTACTTCCAAACCTTCTCCCCCACCCCAAATATGACTACTCTTCGGGTGTTGCTGCACGTCGCTGCTCAGTGTGACTACGATTTGCACTCTCTGGACTTCAGTACAACTTTCTCGCAGGGCAGCCTGCACGAGGAGATCTGGCTGCGCTGCCCACCTGACATCACTGGGTTGTTACCTGCAGGTACCCAGTGGAGCCTCCGGCGGCCAGTGTACAGTCTCCGCCAGGCGCCTCGCGAGTGGCATGACACACTGAGGACTACACTTGCGGCTATGGGGTTTACTCCTTCTACTGCTGACCCGTCGCTGTTTCTACGCACCGACACGTAGCTGCCGCCGTTCTACGTCCTAGTGTACATCTTCGACCTCGTCTTTGCCACTGCTGACACTGGGGCACTGACTCTGTGAAGTCGGAGTTGCAGAAGAGACACACCTGCACTGATCTGGGTGAACTACGCAGCTATCTTGGCTTGCAGATCACCCGGGACAGAGCACGGCGCACCATCACACTGACTCAGTCACACATGGTGCACCAGGTCCTTCAGCGCTTCAACTTCCAGTTCTCCTCGCCACAGCCCACTCCTCTGTCTACCGGCCACTCGCTCTCAGCTCCACCTTCAGACGAGTCTGTAGAGCCGAGTGGTCTGTACCCAAAGCTTGTGGGTTACCTCATGTACCTGATGACGTGCACACGACCCGACCTCGCGTACCCTCTCAGCCTCCTGGCTCGCTACGTGGCTCCCGGTAGGCACCGAAAGGTGCACTGGGATGCTGCGAAGAGGGTACTGCGTTATTTGTGCAGTACGTCGGGAATGGGGCTCATGCTTGGAGGACGGGGTCCAGATGTCCTCACTGGTCACGCAGATGCTTCTTGGGTTAACGACTCAGCTACGCAGCGGTCATCACAGGGTTACACATTCAGCCTCGGTTCGGGCTCTGTTTCCTGGCGGTCTACCCACTCATCTTCGGTTCTAAGCTCCAGTTGTGAGGCTGAGATCTACGCAGGGGCCATGGCTGCACAGGAGCTACGCTGGCTCACCTACCTGCTGACTGACTTGGGAGAGCAGCCTCGTTCTCCTCTAGTT